GCTGCTGCGTCCTCCACTTTCATTAAATAAGATAAGCCATTAGAGCGACTCACAAGTTCTCTTAAAGCTATAAAGCAATCAACAATCACAGGGGGCAACTGTCTGTTCATATAAAACGTTTACACTCAAAGCACTTAAAGTAGTGGTCTCCAACATTTCTGATCAAAGAGCTACTTTCACAAGACAGAAATGGCAGAGAGCTACTTTCCAAAAACATATATAACTGACAATATACTATTCAGCCTCTTATGTTAAATGCCTGAATCCTTTGGAGAGCTACCTGAAGAGGTTTGGTGAGCGACGATGATAAAAAGATTTGGGTTTACACACCACTATTATATAATGTGTTCTAGCAATAAAAGTGTAAATAATAAGCCTAAAATCTATCAGTTGTCATTTCAAAAATGTATTAACAACATCAAGGATTCTCACCTGCTAATATGATATGGCAATGAAAATGAACAAAATTACACATCCAAACAAATTACATGGGTACAAAACCACAGCTGCCCTTTGGTAAAGTGTTGGAATCACGGCTGACATCCAGTGCCACCAGCTCTTCCAATAACCATCAATAATTGAAAGATGAAGTGAAGGGTCCTTTGACAACCACATCTGGTGCAAGAACTTGCCCTAATGCTGCCTTGATGGATGAATCTCAGTGGATTGATATGCAAAGCACTTTTTTCCAATTTGGCACATATAGAAAAGTCAATTGCATACACAAATTTGACTATGCATGTTTAAAATGCACCAAATATAACGTGTCAAAACTACTTTTAAACAGGGAGTGCAATACTGGAGTAAGTAGCTTTGATTACTCCCATCACATGCCTCTACGTTAAGGAACAGAGCAATCAGACAGGCTTCAGGCTCCGTAAGCCCCGGTAAATCAAGCAATGAGTTTTATTCGCTCTTTCTCCAGTGAATGTTGGGTTATGACCCGAAGGCAGAGAGTTATTTATTGCTTTAGTCTGGACCAGTGTTGACTCTGGGCTACTCATCTATAGTTGGGGGCTAATAGAAAGAGAGCCATGGGAGGTGCACTGCGCTGCGGGCACCAGCTCTGCTCAATAGTCGATGTGAAGGCCTTTTCTCGGTTAGATTGGTGATGTTTTTCAATCTCTCCTCTGTCTATTTGACGCGAAAAGTCAGTGTGCCTCACCTGCGGTTATGGAATATGCAATGAACTTAATAGAGTGTGTACATGCGAATGTGGTGGAAAAGTTAGTTAAAAGTTTTCCAAGGAAGGAAACACAACAAGGCCTTCTTATGCCTCTTTTATTTCATGCAGTCCATAGACTTTTGTACGCATTTTTATTAGTATCATTATCGTTTGATTTGTGGGGGGTTGTATTTTATTGTATTTTAAAATAAAAGTAGTATGTGTATGCTGTTAATTGAAAATGTGTGGCACTAATCACTGTGTTTTTTAACGTGATCTTGAGAAGCAACATGAAAGAAATGTATGTAATTGAATACATTTCTTTGAGTGACACTGAAGCGGTAGATAAATAAAGAGGACTTACTTTTGAAGAGGTTGTTTGGCTCCTGCTCTAGCTCTGCTCTGATCACCAGCCGCTGATTGGTCAGACTGTGGCCGAGCCCAACTGTGCCTATTATTGCTCCATGCTCTGTGCACGTGCATAAGAGTCACACACCCGTATTTGGCACAAAGCATCATGGGAGCTCGTCCACTGCGCAGAACCGGGGGGACCAGACGATGCCCAAATATGGGCGAGTTCCGCTAATCTTTCATTCCCCATGGCTGTTCCAAGCGCTATTGAGCACAAGTCATTGATTTGAAAAAGGGCGTCATCTTGGATCACTGGGGCTTGCGATTATTATAGACATGTTACTGTGATATTACACTGACCAATGTATAACATTATGACTCCCAGAATTATAAGAACTATTGGAACTCTCAGAGCAGTCATTTTGACGGTTCCCATTCATATCAATGTAATTGAGTTTGGTGAAAAGCAACCAAATTGCAACTAACGGCTGCAGGTAAACAGTGTGTTGCTATGGTAACTAGAACTGGTTCTGCTCTGGTGGAAAACCATACTGAACCAGAACCAGTCCAGGACCAGCACCTTGGAGTAAATGGGATTTACCTACCAAAGAATGTTGGTTGCCAAGTGACCCAAAATAGCAAATATTCCGAAAATATATATTTTACATTCAAATGAAAGAAACAAAAAAGTTAATGGGAGAACTACTCACATTGCAAAAATAAAAGTACATTTCATGATAGGTAATGACATAGAAATAAGTTAGATATTTATAGAGAAAAGGACAGAAAGTTATGAAGAGTAAAGAGTGCTTCCAAAAATGAAAATCCATTAAAGTGACAGCTCTGGGAATTCTAGTCTTAAACGCAACCAAAAAGTCAATCATAGAATAAGACATCTATTTCACTTCAGCCAAAGCCAAAATTACAGCTGCCTCCTCTCCCTTTTTTCCATTTCTGGAGTAGTCCTTGTTGATAAAGGCGATGAGGATGGAAAGACACGAGGATGCTGCTGTTCACAGTTCACAAACGCACGGCTCATAAGCACAGAAGACAGACTACCTGCAGCTGGAGCCTTGGACAGAAGTCTCTATTCTCAGTGCTGCCTGCTGCCTTTGTAATAGAAACTCAGTGTGTTATGTTCGAAAATAACAAAGATAAAACTCTAAATTGTCTGCCGCCAAATGGGAGCTTAACCTTGGTGCACGCTGTCTCTATAGTAACAATGTTTTTATGACTAACTCAGGGCTCTGACCCATCCCTAAGGAGTGTATGATTGCGCCCATCTATTTCATGAAAGAGAATCTACTTGTCTCTTACATCCCTCTTGCTTTCAACATAGCAGACGTGAAAGAGACCATACAAGGCTGTGTCTTTAACAACCCGCTAACCCGAGCGCCAACCTCTGCCGCAGCACAGTTTGATATACAGGCCCAGCTGCCATTTCAACCGCTCTGACAGCCGCTGACAGGTAAAAGGAACAACCACCATCTTGGAATATATGAGGAGGGCCTTGAGCAGAGGGGAGGGGCGGAAGGGGGGGGTGTCTATGTTTATAAGAGCAATAGTGAGACTTTGAAAAAAAAACTGGTTAACAAAAACAGATTCTGTGCATGAGTAAAAAATAAAACCATATCTTAGCAAAGGAAGGTTTCTCTCCCATCATCTGTACCTCCTTAGCAGGTTTTCCCAGGTTCTTTTGGGAAAACCTGCAAAGGAGGTACAGAGGATGGGTGAGAAACCTTTCTTTGTTTTGACTAATCCCTGTACGACTGAGAGCTTACACAAACTTTAAACCATATCTTATTATTTTTGACAACTTTTGAAAAGAAAAACATTGATTAAATACAAGGAGACTTAAGGTTGTTGTCAATGAAGATTAAAAAACATGAGAAAATATTTTGCAGATGAACAGTATAAAAAACCAACCTTAGGTGTTTGTGCCGATATATTACAACATTTCAACTCTCGACTCATAATAATAAATATAATGATAAAGATGAATTCAGTATGTTAAATCCAAATATAGTACTGAATTGTATTATACATTAGAGTATTTTTTTGAACTTTCTGTATACTCTTGCACACTAGTGACACAGTAGCATTTCAAGTAGTATTTCAGCTTATTTGTCATTAGTTTTTTTTTTCCAAAGTCACATCATAAATTGCAAAGATGGCCTTATATATATATTGCTATAATGTGCTAGTCACAACATGTGTATCGCGATGCAAACCGTATAACCAGATACAATGTATAAAATATGGACTATTACATTAAAAGTAGTTTTAATGATTTAAGATAAGATAAGATATGCTTTATTTATCTCATAAAGGAGAAATGTACATGTCACATTTGGCATGGGTAGAAACACTCAAGATTGTGCAAAAAGAGAGGAAATGTGCAAACATGTTAAATGCAGGATATATTATGTACAATAAAAAAGTGTCCAATTAAAAGTGGCAATCAGAAACAGAGTCAATAGTAGTGCAGGTTTTTTCAGTCTTAATACAGTGACTTAAAGTGTCTTGTACAGTCTATTGCTCTGTCCTGTTTTTGTGTTTTCAATCTTATTTTTTTTAACACTTGGGTTTTTTGATCAAATATAAATTGCAGTACAATTTGTTTTATTATTATGCAAGATAAAGCTGGATACCACGACATGGTCCAGGAAAAAGCGGAAGAAAATGCAAATTATATTTGTGTAAATTATTTAGAAATATTTTTCTCACAGAGCTGTGGGTTTTTCTTACAGGTCTTACTTTCATTTTCTTCTCCCAATTTCACTTCAACTAATCAAAACATCCTTCTCAGTTTTTCAGATTTTCAAATTAGTCCGGGAGCAATTATTCAATGAAATACCAAATGTTGTTTGTCAGTAATTCTTATACAAAACCATATGACTTTATTTAGACTTAGTGTTTTTAATTATGGAAGTAAAAAGCTGTGTTTGTAAGCAGTTGAGCTATAACCCAGGTAGAGCTTAAAGTCAAAGGCAGGAGATTATGATGCACCCTTTAACAACTAAATTTACATGTATTTAAAGTCTCTCTGGATTAATCCTCATCCTACAGGACTGTTTGAAAATGTCAAGCCTCCTGGACATACAACTATATTCAAAGTCTTTGCATATTCATTCACGCTCTATTTTAATTCAAGCAAAAGCAAAAGCCATCAAAAATTTAAATTAATTAATTAACTTTAAATTAAACATTTAGTGGCAGGAAGTCTGGAGGGAGTTTGAGAATGTCTAAATTATGGACATGGCGAATGCAGCGAGTCATTTTCCCGGAGAAACACTGGCATACAATAATTTACCAGGAAAAATAGCAGCAACAAATCTTCTCAGTCAGAAATGCCTTAAACTTTTGATTGTAATGAATGTGAAACGTGGGTCTAATGCCTTTCTGTCACTGCTATTTTAAATTTGGCGTATCCGCATAAAATCTTGAAGCCGAGCACATTGTAGCATTAATCTTGTTGACGAACCTGTGAACAGTGTTGGTGCCGTTCCAGCAGGATGTGCCTTCACTCCGGGAGAGATCGCTCACACACAACTGATCCGCCAGGCCACCGTAGTATGTCCGGAAGAGGCGCAGGCCACTCAGGAAATCTCTGAACATGAACAAATAAAGAAGAAATATTACTTGTTATTTTGGGGCCATTAAATATATAAATTAGACTATTCACTGAATAATATCTTCAGGTGAAATATATGGTGAAACAAGTATCAAGGGTAATTAATGCTATAAGCCTTCCCTATTAGCGTGGATGAATCTAAAAAGAACCTGGTCTGTTTTTGATAACGTAACAATGTTGTAATATAGTTAAGTAAGTATGTAAGCTCAAGCCACACCAATCTTTAAATTCTACAATCTTACATTCAATTGGTAAATAATAATAAATAATAAATAAATAATTGGTAATAACAATTACCAATTACCAGTTTACTCCCTGCCCTAAGGATGTTCTACTATGGGCCTACCTTTGGCAAACTCTCTCCTCTTTTCTGTTTTCCCTTCTTCCTTCTCTCTTCTAGCCCTGATCCACGACAGCTACAGCACAAATAACTGATTTTATTGCACCAAATATTCCCAAAACCTTTATGTCTGCGAAGGCTGCCCTGGTCACTCTGGCTTCACCTACCACTGAATAAACATATACTACAGTAGGTCTGAATGTAGTGATGAGTGAACAGATGGAGTTATGTGTGGAGTAAATGAAACCCTTGGTCTGTAGAATGCGCTAATTAAATAAAGATTTATTTCTTACTAAAACACTATTGTGTACTGTGGCTTCCCTCCACCACCTGGAAGGAGCTCTTAGCTTGCCTCCAATTTAAAGTTGAGGTCCTCTGAAACCTCAAAAATGTTGTTGCAGTTCCTGTAGTTGTAGTTCATGTAGTTCCTATCTCTCAAAACAGTTTGGTTCTATCGCTGGTTTCCACATGCATGTATGTTTGGCCCCATCTTAGATTAGTTTTTGGAGATATTTGCACATTCTTGCATTTATTGATTTATACTTGTATATAAGTTGGGGTTAGGGTTAGTTAAATAAGTTGAATATTGATTATTAAGTTAAATATTAGCTTTATTACTTAGGGTTAGGGTTAAATGTATACATAAGTATACATTTCTTTACACTAGAGCATATAGGTTATACTTTTTTATGTATTACATTTAGCGTTGGGCTACTGTATACTTGATCTTCACTTATCTTATTTTGTGTTTGTGTGCTCTTCATTCATACTGTTCTATGACCTGTGATGCAACACTGATATTTCCCCGCTGTGGATCTAATAACCTTGTATGTAATGGTTCTGCCTTATGTCTATATTTTTTCTGTAATTCACTTGGTGGGTTTGTGTTGCTAATTGTATTTTATTTTTATGAAAATAACATGTGTTATGTGGTTTTATTTATTTTGTTCACCTATATTTGTTTCAATAAATCCAACAAAAACACAAACATCATATTATATATTTTACTTTCCCATATATTGGTATGAAACCTGCAAAGATCACTCACTTCCTCCGCTGGGCGAGAGCGTCCCCCTTTGGTGAGGACTTGAGCGGCAGAGGCTCTTTAGCTGCACTCACAGACTGCAGCCTTCTGTCCACAGAACCACAAACTCTATGGAGCTGAACACACACACAAGAGGCACACAACTCTTAGTTACATTGAAGAAGTTGGACTTTTCTTTTTGTCTTTTAAAGCTGCGCAAAAAATGATGTAACCAGGTGACAATATGTTTTCATTGTTTTCATCTCCTTGTTCTGCAATCTACGATCTTTGATCTATGGCTAAATTTTGTTTTAGATTAGCAGAATAAACATTTATCATGACATCTGTAAAATGTTATGGTAATAGTATAGAAATAATTAAGAAGTACATCAACCAAATAATGTGTTGTGTGTTGGGAACATATGTTAGGAATAAACTTCCCGTTTGAGCTCCAGAGACACATAATGACCACTAGATGGGGATGTGGCTTTTAATTTGGTGGAACACATGAAGTGAAAATCCACATAACATTGAAAAAGCCCTATGTCTGGACTGAGGAGGTGAGAAGTTTGTGAGAAAACACATTTAGCTTGATTCACAAGGCAGTAAGCAGTGGGTCATGTTCATTTGTATTTGACAAAGATTATACAAAACCAAACTAGAGTTTATTGGAGAGCTGATTCATGTTAAAACAACATACACCAGATTGTGGATTTTGTGTCACAGATGGTGTAAATGACCTTAGATTACAAAAGGTTATCAGCATATATTAAAAAAATATATGGACTTTATGAAAGTTAAAATATATATTATAAAACACTCGAGTGGAAAACTGAAAATAACAATTTTGGTATTTCTGTCTTTCCTACTTAAAATAAACTACAAAAATGCTGCTCCCTGACCTGAGTTGTGATGCGCGGTCCGTTCCTCAGCGCGTTTCCTATGGCGTCATGCAAAAGCGTGTGAACTCCCAGCAGCACTTGCTCCAGGTCTTGTGGCCCGTGCATCCGCGAGGACAGTCCCTCCAGCGATCTCACAAAGTCTCTCCAGTGAACATCAATCTCCGCCAGGCTGGCCAGACACCCCCGCATCACGTTCAGACAGTAGCCCATGCACGGCTTGGACTCAGTCAGGCCCTGCAGACCATGTGAGAAGTATTGATAAGACTGAACAACTTCAGCGAAAGATCAAATTGTGATATTTATGCCAAACATTGGAATTAGCTTCATGGTTTCATTCTCTTCAAAGTGTCTATTTAGAACCAAGAGCTGTAATATTTGATGGAAGACTGAATTATGATGTGATTGACTTTCAAGAGGGTCTTCAAAATTGTCCACCTCTAATAACTTGGAGTATTCTACTGTATGCCTAGGAGATGCCATGTGACCAAATTTCAGGTCGAATCTATGGTGAGGAGAACACACATACATGCATGTTTTTTTTATGTAATTTTAAAATGCCATAAAGAGAAAATACCTGCCAAATTGGTTTAACGCCCACCAGAATCTGCAAATGCTTCTTAAATTGTGAAATTGAATTGAAAACATGAGGAAGATGTTACCCATGTATTGCTTTGGCAGCCTAACTAAAAAACTAAATAATATGACAGTTCCAGGACAGGTCAGTGTAGACAAGATTTTAAGTGGGTTTTTTTTCAGGACCGATACCAATAATTAGAAGTCAAGGAAGCCAATAACAGATATAAAGATATTCAAATGTAGGGAAAGTGAAAATAATAAGTAAAAGTCCAACTCTTTATGTCATTTCAATGCCAGAAGATTATCTACTTTCAACAAAACATAGACCTATTGTATCGACTGGATGTGATGTAGTGTAACTGTAACTGAGAGATAGATAGGTAAAAAGATGCTGATGTATATGATATGAAATTATCCTGTTAGTGTCCTGTTATTTAAGTTAATTTTGTTTGAGATAAACTAATTAAATTGGACAGTATTTTGTTTGCGTATGTACAGTAAGTACGACTCTTTTACAACATACTACTATTAGTACTGTTGTGCAGAAGAGACTAGTGCATGCTTGTGTTTAGTTAAGTTTTATCATCGTTGTTTTGAACAGTATAGGCTAGACGAGGCTATAATTGGACTATTAAAAAGAAAACACAGTAATACACTTAAACCATAGACTGTAACCAAAAGAAAGGAATATGGCATTGTTTGTACACAGATGAGTGTGAGTAAGACAACTCAAACTACAAAACACTATGTTCAGGTACAAAGTTACCTGAGGCAAAACCTGTCCTTCCCCTGTTTCCCAGCAGACCCGCTCTGTGTGTGTGTGTGGGAGCTGACCTGACAGTGTGGACAGTAGTGCATCTTGAGCAGGGCCCGTCTGCACTCGCGACTCAGCTGGAGGTGGTCAGTGGTGTTGATGACCTCAATCCCCAGATGCAGCGCCTGAAGCAGCAGTTTGCCCGCTGTCCCTGAGCGCGAGATCTGGTCGATCAGAATGTGCGGAGCCTGTCCAAACGGCCTCACGTCCCTCCTCGCTCCCCTAACACACTCGGCATAAGCTGGGGAGGTGTCGCTGAGCCCTGGGTGGATCAGGTCGTTGTAGACAAATGGGAAAAGGGAATCGAAGAAACGTTGAACCATATCGTCTACGCTCACTTCGGATCCCAGTAAGTAAAGGCCGATGTCAGTGAAGAGCTCCTGCACTGGCTCCATGGAGTGGTCCGCCATGTTGCCAAAGGACTCCTTCAGGACTGAGACTGTGTGGTTTTCAGCCTGCTTCATTAGCTGCTCGAAGATCTCTGGGGAAAGACAGGCAAAAACCAAATCTAGTGTCAATTCAAATGATTTCATTATTTTTATGATGTCTCAGAGGACTTTACAAAGTTGTTAATTCCCAAACAGTTTAAATACAGCAAATACAATAATAACAAACACATTGGTCCATTGAGAGCAGAGGACCAATTTCCATAGTTTTTCTAATTATATGAAAAATATCATATTTGATTCTTCTTTTGATGATTTTAGGTCGATTCTTGTTTCATTTTGACATTTTCGCTTTGCCGGCAACATTAGGACAATTAGAATGGTTGTTTGTAAAACTAAAAAGCTCCAGTCTATAGTCACAAAAAGAAAAAACATCAGCCAAATATCGGCCAAGTTGTTATGCTAAACATCGGTATCGGCACAAAATTTCACAATCGGTGCATCCCTATCGCACCGTGAGCCTCTTTAATGTCAAACTAATTGGACTCACAAATTCTTAACATACATGTTTTTTTCTCATTGTATAACCTATAATATCTTTGAAAACATGACCTAAGATCTAAATGTTCATACTGACCATTGAAAATAAATTACTACTACATACTAGGTATTGGAAAGGCCGAAAAAGACAGTTGATGATCTCTAAACAGAAACAGAATCATTATCTCCTTAAAAGAGTTCTGTTTGAAAGAGTAATGTAATGTACTGAGTCTTCGTTTTAGGTTATAGCCACATTTCTCTCCAGGCACAAAAGATACTTACCTCCTGTAGATATGTAAAAATCACCGGATGCATAAGAAATGAAATCAGGGTCTATTTGGAGCAGTTATAAATAATATCAACATGCAGAGCTTATGAGTCAATGCCATGCAAGTAAAACATGCAAATGAGTGCAATGACACCACATATATTTGTTATCCACATTCCCTCTCTCTCGGGAAAACAGCAAGAACACAAATTGAAATGATTAAGAGATACATTGACCGAGCCAGAACAATGATGAGTAAATAGAAAGTAAACAGGAAACATAACCATATCGTCTACGCTCCAATCATTTGCTTTATTAAATGGCTGTCAGAGCATAAAGAACAAACTGCTAAACACACCTGTAGAGTGCTTTGTCAAGTGCTGCTACCTCTGGCTGTTAAAGGGCCTATTATCTGAGACAACCTCTCCAGATCTGCGCTGTTGGAGATGTTACAGTCCTGTCATCCAGTCATTCTTCAGTTGTTCATTCTTTCAAAATAAACAGCAGAAGATGTGTAGATTTTTTGGATTTTTTTGCGCTGAGGTTGTGGAGACCCAGATGAGATTTACAGTAAAACTTGACTGTATATTTGGAGTGGACTGACCATGTGCTGACATCACCCATAGTGTTTGCCAAATGTGGAAGAAGCTGATTTGAACTCTAGCAAGCTGGAGCCAATATACTAATATTGGCGTTTCTTCTGACAGCGTTAGCTTCGTGCCATAACCAGGAGCAGATCATGTGTCGCTAAGTTGGTTGCTAAGGCAAGCTGGAGTTTCCCTGCAAATGAAGGCTTCTGATTGGCCAACCTTCATATTGCTCATATGGCTTTTGACAATTTCAAAATATAAATACAAGGTTCATAGAGAGTGCTAAACCATGGATTGTTTTATGTGTGACACAAACGGAGACTGAGTTAGAAAAGTTTGCTTTTTAATGTAAATCAATAGGAGCCAGAACGACTTGGAGAAAACAACAATGGCCCCTTTTGGATTTCATGAAGCTAGGAGGTTAGCATTGTTCATCTATATACAGTTTATGTTTAAAACCTTGGGGAACAAGGCCTTTTCTGTGGTTGGAGACCCCCTCCATGTCTCCCTAGTTTTAAGACTTATCACTTTAAACTTATCATGCGGCATTCAACACTGTGTAATTTGTGTTACCATCTGAAATATTCTATATGTTATTGGTATTCTATTTATTGTATTTATTTGAGTGGTTTCATCTTTTTACTTGACTTTTATTGACATACAGTATTTATATGTAGGCCTTTATATGCTTGCCTTGTGTATGAACTGTGCTATACAAATAAACCTGCCTTGTCTTGCCTTGTACTATGGTGTTTTATTTTCATCTTGCCTCTGTGCAGTGCTTTATAAAATGTGCTATATACATGTCAATAAAGTTGAGTGGATTATCTGAGTTCAGATCAAATAAGGAAATGAATATCAGTATAACTGTATCAATATAAATGTGGCTGTTTATGAAGCAATAACCAGCAAATTGTATAAATATAGTATACAGAACGATTAAAGTTTTCTGTCAAACTAATGAAGGTCTTAACATTGATTATCTGCGGTGAGAGAAGCTTAAGTTTGTTAAATATTACCCATGTGCCACAGAAAAAAGAAACCTAATCGCAAAGCTCAGCACAGCAGTGTAAGTGATGACAGAGAAATATTTTACACATAGGTAATAATATTGTTTTAGGACATACAAAAGTGGTACAAAACCAAAGGGAGTTGAAAAGCAATTTGATTCTCACTTGAGCTGACAAAGAAAAATGGCTGACCAACTACAATTGATAGTGTGAGCGTTATATTTCCCTCCTGCAGTTTATTAAAGCGAGCGTTTCTACAGCACAGCAGTATTGTCTGGGAGGATGGAGCAAAGAGGCTCTTATGAAGCTCATACCAGGGGACTCTAAGTGGATGAAACAGGAGAGAAGAGGGAGGAGGACCTAACAGAGAAGAGACAGAGGTTAACAGGCAGATATTAAAGACCTAAAGACTTCACAGACACAGAATGGAAATTTCTCAAATGAATTCCACGGTGTATGCTGCATTCATATTCATGGTTGCTGCATTTGCATTTAGAGCCATCCAATAAGACTGTGCTCATGAGGAGGACAGCGGATCTTCTGTCTCAATGAAAATGGTTTTGTTTCTCAAGGAACGTTTTGATGAGGAATAATAGTTGCAGATTTTCCTATTGTATCCTATTGTACATCTATACTATTATGTAATCAAACTGAGATATAAGTGATAGAATTTGTAAGTTCAGTATAAATATTGTAGCCGTTCAAAGCTTGAAATAAGAATTTAGATTATACTATGTTACCAAGTGAAGGAAGGTTTATGCAATAAAATTATATAGCACTTTTTGGAACTTCACATGGCATTGTTCATTGTGCATGGTAATGGTAAACTACTACTGAGGCAGACTGACAGACGTTAGGCTCCTAATCTGTGCCATAGGCCAGCAGCACCAATTATTCATGCACACACCAATCTCTTACAAGGCAATGTGAGTGAAGTGTCTTGCCTAATGACACAACAACAGATTGTCACTTTCTCAGCAGTCTCAGCCGCCCCACTGTGGCATCTGCAATATTCCCAAAGGTCTCCTGTCACAGTACAAACTAGACCCTACCCTGCTTAGCATCTGAGATCAGGTGGGTTCTTTTCGCATGTAGGTATGGTTTCACCCAAAAAAAAGAATTTATTAAGATGCACATATTTCAATTCAAGCCGAAGACCCTAGAGTTTCAAAGGTAGTCATGGACACCAGTCAGAAGTCATTATCTGTCAATGAATAGATTTTAAAATGTGTTATCCCGCTTTTGGTCATCACTGATACAAACAATAGAGCCAATAATTAGTTATTATTAGTTAGTAGTTTTGTAATTTTATTGTTTTTCATTTGTCTGTACAGCACTTAGGTAAGCCCAGGCAGTTTTTATATGTGCTTTACAAATAAATATAGATTTTGATAGAGTTTAGGGAAATAAGTAAGTCATATTTAATTACATAGCACATTTTTACAGACCAAGGCGCTTTAACATGTTCAGACGTAACAGATAAAGGTTAAAAACATGATCCCAGAGGAAAAGCCTTCAGCTGTAATCAGTGCAGTGCTTTATTCAGTCTGTCTGTGCTGAGCCGCGGCCACACTGACATCATGTGCCGGTCATGAGGTTGGACCTGTGAGTCCTGGAGCTGCCTTCGGGGCCTCAGTGACCAGAGGCAAGAAGCCCAGACACTGTCGACAGTCAAGCAACAACAAGCAACATCAGTGAGGAGGTCATCTGCCCACGGGCAAAGTCAATGAGAAATTTAGAACGCTCAAGAAGCATGGCAGCTGGCAGGTGGTTTGCTATCAGCATCTAAAGCAGCACATCCTTGAAAATAAATAATAATATAAGATTAATGGATACTATTGCGATTAAATGTGCACGTCTCAAAGCACAATTTTGTTCACACAGAATTGAGTAAGTAAGATAAATGAGCTTTAGAATCATATGCATTTCAGAACATCTTTGAAAAAGTTAAAAACTGAGACATAGTAACTTTTTTCCAAACAAAGAAAAATCTATTCATCCATCCATTTTCTTCCCCTTAATCTATTTCTGGGTTGGGGAGGTGACAGTCAGAGCTGCACCCAATTCACACAGGACCAGCCACTCACTGATCTTCCAGCAGATGGTGAATCCACAGTCTTGATATTTCAGGGGGGCTTCAGGCAAAGTGGGGTTGCCCAAGGACACAAGGACAGCTGACATCAGTGGGAATAGATGGAGAAGGTCTCGTGGTCAGCTTGAACCCACGACCTTTGGGCTCAAAGACCAATGCGCTATACTAACTGAGCTTCTGTCACCCCAAAAACACCAAAAACAAAGGAAAAAACATATTAAAATCTCTAGTTTTTCCTCATCTCACAACTTTAGATCAACTTTTTCATACAGAAAAGGGAAGGTATAAAGTATGAAGTCCTATTATACGAAGATATTCAAATGCTTAAAGCTAACTGGATGACTTTTTTAGCAGCTATTATTGAATTGAATTGAATTATCTGAAAATAGGGGTTTCTTTACTGTGAGCTGGCTCATATCTACACAAACCTAACTCCTTTGGCTATAATCTTTGGTATAAATGCTGTATTATTCAACTTATCCAATTCCATAACTTCCCATTGGCTACTAAAATATACAGTAGCCATGTGATTTACAGTATTTGCAAATTTAAAACAATCTGGGGCGTGCTCGATTATTGGAACCTTGTTTAATCT